GCTAAACTCAAACTCTAGCACATTCAAAATATCGTTAATGTTCTGAAATTGACTTCTTCGTTAATGTTCTGAAATTGACTTCTTACGTGGGTCTTGGGACGAATTGATGTGGACTCCTCAAATGGTACAATTTACTATTTTTTATTTTTTTATTTTTAGAATCATCATTTACATTTGTGAAAGAAATTTACATGTCAGCGAGGAATAATTCTAATAGTGAATAATTCTAATAGTCAAAATTGAACCAAGTAACCAACGCTCACTTATACATAGAATCATCGATTACAATTGATCTTCAAATGAAGAAATTTCGGTTTGTCGTGAGGAATAATTCCAATAGTCAACTGCTTAAATTCAATGCATAGAAATCCCATACCATTCAAAGTCAACTTCATAAACTTATCAATCACACCCTAAAGTGTTTTTGCGAAATCATACTTGTTAGAAATTATGATATACGCGTCTTTAGTAATTTTACATACATAAATAAAACATATGGTGGTATGTGTGTACGTTATATGTCAAAATACAAGTTGCCCCGTCACAATAAACGCCACAATTATTATATATTGAAGAAAATTAAATCATTCACAAGTAAGAAATATCTTTACTCTCAATGAATAATATATACATTATCAATTTTTCCAGTACATGTTATTTTAACTTGATCGTTAGCGTTTAATTTTAAAACTCGCTTTGAAAATGGTCTAGCGTTCCTCTTGTTAGTCATAATGAGCCATGACATAGCTCAATTGGTTTCGAGATGACTTGTTTGATTTCTTAGAAAATAACATCAAACAAGTATGGATAACAATGTCAATTGTGGGGGTTAGGTTCACTCTTTTATAATGGATTCATTGTTAATCGGTCAGTTTCGGTACAAATGGACTGTTGAACAGTTTATTTACCTATCACATGCTATTTTTTGGGAGTGAAAGAATATGATCAAGTTAAGGTTGTCGAAAATCAACTTTTCAAGATTTCGTCAAACAATCCCCAAACTACAAGCAATTCTTGGATCCAACATCTTTAGAACCCACGGATCATCGTTGGTTCGAAGAGTAGATATTGATATCATAATTAAGCAAAAAAAAAATTTTAATTAGTAAGTAAATATTATCATTTAATGTTTTTCTGTTTAATACATTTTCATAACTATTACTTTAAACTTCCTTAAAATCAAATTCTCCTAGTAGAAAGATAGAAAAACACAATGATCCAAAACATTTAAAGTAAAAACAAATTTAGATATATCTAAATAGGCATCAATGAATCCCACAAAAATTCCATAAATAAGAACATGAGTTATTTATTTCTAGAGCATAACATCAATGAAGAACCGTTAAACGATCATTCATCCTCCAACTTAGTGTCAACGATTCCACATTTGAGACAAATGCAATGTACTATCATTTTAGACATATAATAATAATATAATAATGACGTATGTGTAACCGTCTCATCAAAATACATGTCGTCATACTATAAATAGAAGAAACAATATTCAAAGTAAGAAATATCTAAGATTACACATACATTGGAGTTTAATATTTTATTTTTTTGGAATGAGAACAAGCCTCATGTAAATTAATTGAATTTAATGTTAAGAACCATTTTAAGAGAGTTCTAATAATTCTTTCGGTGTGAGTGATTCCAAAATCTTCCCACTTTATAACTTTTTTTACTATTGCTCAACATTCTATTCATAACTATTGGTTTTTATTTTCCTAGTGGAAAAGCAATAAAATTCCAGAAATCTGAACACTTCAAGTAAATGCAAATTTCAGATGTCCACATGATACGAAAACAAGACTATATTTTCGAACATTTATTTTATACTCACAAACTAAAAACGTAGGTTATTATTATTATTATTATTATTATTATTATTATTATTATTATTATTATTATGGAAAGAGAACTTCTCTAACGAGGATTTTTTTTGTCAGTTTTCACGCACCGATTAAATTTTCACTGTAAACATGAGGCGATGTCAAGCGAGCGAACCTCAATGACCACAAAGGTTGAATAGCATCAAGATTTAAACATAGGTCACTATGTTAAATATATCCTTTATATATACCTTTTAATTTACTTACAGGTTTGGTCCTATTTTAACTTTAGGAATTACATTTTTAGTTAGTATAGCTTTTTAATTATGAAATATATTTTTATTAAGGAAATGGTTCAATTATAGTTGTTAATTTAGGAGTTACACATTTGTCCGTATAATGCTTACTTCCAAAAGGAAATGGATTAGTTACAGTTTTGGTCTATGACTTTTTAATTTAAAAAATTATATTTTGGTCTCTATAGTTTTTAGTTCTAAAATTAAGAAATGTATTAGTTAAAGCTTTTATCAATGTAGTTTTTAATTTAGAAAATTATATTTTTGTCTTTTTTTCTCATTTTAGTTATTATTACATAATTATACATTAATTGTTTTAGTAGATTGGTCAGCTCTCTATCTTTGTTATATATATATATATATATATATATATATATATATATATATATATATATATATATATATATATATATATATATATATATATATATATATATATATATATATATATATATATATATATATATATATACCACACATGGTATTTTTTTTAATTTTTTCAATTTCATTTAAATCCACTTGGCAAATTGTGGTTTTTTTTTTTTTGCTTTGTTATTAAATTTAAAAATATAATAAAGAAAATAAAGAAACATAAATATCTCCATAAATTCTCACTTAATTTGTTTAATGTATTAAATTCAAAACATTCCTAATTGAAAAACATAATTTTCGGTCAATCCTTTTTGAATTCATAATAATTTGCAAGAACCTTGCAAAAATTGATTCATTCACAACTAATACTGATATTTTTTTCAAATTCAGTTTTATAAATTATTAAACATGTAATGCTTAATAAAATATAATAATTAAAAAAATCATGTATTACAGGGGTCTCACACCTAGTAAAATATATAAACTACACAAATAATTTTACATATCAATATTTTCTATTAGATTATTCAGTAAAAAACATAAAATTAATAAATCTGCTAGAAATAGTGGTCAGTGGCAGCGGCGACGGTGGTAACGACGATGATGGTAGTGGTGGTGGTGTCGCAGGCAGTGGCGGTGGTGATGGTGGATGGTGGTCATGGCGGTGGTAGTAGTGGTTGGTGGCAGTGGCGGCAATGGTGGCAACGGCGGCGGTGGTAGTGTTTGTGGCGGCAGTGGTGGTGGTAGTGGTGGTCCGTGGGGCGGCAACGGTGGTGGTGCTGGTAGCGGTGGTAGTGATGGTGGTGGTGGTGGTCAATGATAGTGGTGGTAGTGGTGGTGGGTTTTTTGATAAATACAAGGGTATTTTTATAATTTGTTATTTTCCTTGATAAGAAGGAATATTTTTCATCCAATTTTGTAAGGAATTTACTTTCCTTCATTCATATTGTAGAAAGTTTAGTTCATTTAGGAATCTTTTTTCCTCCTCTAAATCCAACCAAACACATGAATTCGAAGGAACTAAAATCTTTTTCCCTTGAATTCTATTTATTTTCTGCCAACGAAACACAGATGAAATCTATAGAAGTGACCAAAGTTGATTGTTGAATTACTTGTTATACATTAAATACGTGCCCCAACTACAACTAAAATGTGAGGGTCTTTTTTTTTATATATTTTAATATATACTTGAGTTCTGTTAACATAAATTAGAAATTGAAGTACTGTGTCACTTTGATAGACATAAAGTCTCATATAGTGATTCCACTTTGAAAAATAGGAATAAATAAATATCAATAGAAGAAAATATCCAATTCTAAGTGCATATTGGTAAGTTTTAGTTAACTATTCATCTTTAGTTTTAATACACATTCTATCTTACTCTATAATTTCATTACGTTACAAATAAAATGTAAACCCTCAATCTTATAAAAATATATATTAAAAGATGAATAGTTGTCAGGTTATTAGCCTAGTGGTATCGTGAGATATCCTCTATTCATAAAAAGACATGTCATGATACATTAATCAATAGCATGTTGGTAATTATTTATATTCATCAAGTAATATATATACTTTTATCATTTTTATATAAATGTCATGATAACTTCATCATGTTATTACTTTTACTTTTTGTGGTGAATCCATAAAAAAACAGTCGCTTTAGAACTTTATATACATTGTAAGAAAATTCACTGAACATAAACAATGACTGATACTTAATACCTAATTCAATTTAATGAACATATTACATTTGTCTTATAATATCAACGTCCTTGTCAATATCTTTTTGTCATTTAACATTGCTCAAAGCTAACCAACTATTTTGAACCAACTGTCATTCTTTTATCAACAAAAAACTTATTTTTCAACTAAAAGCTAATTTTCAACAACTCTCACAAACATATCCTAAATCCCAAAAGCATTTCACAATAGAAGTTTCCATATCCAAATTAGTAGCTAAAATTTGTAAAATAGCAATATACGTTCAATATTCGGTTTTCCCTTACAACAATAACATAAAGTACCCAAGAATATCAAACCCAAAAAACTAAAAATGCAAAATCATCTTGTAACGTCTCAAAAAGAAATATAATTGGCATCATCATCAGAATAATAACAATAACAATAACAGTAACAGTAACAATATATAAACTTTGATGGCCTGCAACGCATGTAAGCAGCATAGCTCCTTCCCAAACTAAAACTACATCTTCTTCTTAACTTTAAACCCTAAATCCATTTATATATTCTTCTAACATATCCATCTTTTTCTCCTTCCAAGTTTTCTGCGCTACAATCTCTCATTTCAACCCAACCAACACAAACACAAAATAAAAAACAAAACAAGAAGAGCCCTTTTGCAAAGAAGCTAACTTTTTTTCAAAAAGAAAGAAGTAAAATAGAGAGAGAGGGGGTGTGGATTCTAAAGATGTGTTCCGGAACCTTCTTTGACACATGGCGTGTGGTAAAACCAAACCAAACCAAACCAAAACCGTAAAAAGTGTTTGAGAAATTTAAGGTTTGTTTATGGGGTGGATTCGTTTGATGCATAATACATGTACAAGCTGTTTGCAGCAGCACAAGCTATGGAGTTTTCAGTTGGGTGCCATGCCAGGTGGAGAAGCTTTGTTGTAAAATCAAATGAGTTCCCATTCGTGTCATTTCCTGGACTCTCTCCCCCTAAATATAAACATATTATTATTATTTATCACTAACTTAAGTAAATTTTCTGCTAAAAATATATATATTTTTTTAAAAAAGGAAGCTTACCTCGTCTAACAACTCGTGTTATGCTGCTGCTTAGGGATCTGGAAGGCCTTGAAGGAGTCTGCACTTGTCGCCTATAAATGGTAACAACCGTTTTTTCAGTCGACACATTTGTATAATACAAGGGGCAATTTCGTCCCACGTGTCTAAGGATTGGGTCAAATAGGTAAAAGTGTAAAACTATCTCATTTTTGCTTATTTGGGTAAGAAACTAGATTTTTTGCCAATTAAGTGCACAAAGTGTTAGGGTTTGTTTGTTAGTTGATGATTGAGTCAGACTCAGCTTCTTACCAGATATAGGACCGAGTCAGAACAATTATGGTATCAAACAGTCTGAATCTAACCGAATCAGAATCAACCTCTTCTTACTAGACCCGATACGAGTCATTTTTATTAAGTAATGAGTTACCTTGAGTGTCTCCGGTAACTCAAAGAATTGTAGGTATAATGAGTTAATGACATGTTAAAGATTATAGTGACCTAATTGGCAAAAAAAATAGCTTGTTGTATTGTTTATGTTATACCCAAATTAGAAAGAAATGAGTAGTTGAGTTAATCGGTTTATATATTATACCTCATTGGGTTTTTGCTAGCTTCCAGGGTGGTGGCTTCGGTACTTGTGGGACCCGAGCCAAACACACGGAACAGATTGCTGAAACCAATATCATTAAAAAAATAAATATCTAAATAAATAAATAAATAATTAGAAAGATACAAAAATTTTGACATGGTTGTTACCTGTAAGAACCAGTTGCCACACGCATTCCATCACCACTTAAACAGCACTCAAATTTATCAAAAATCGAGTCGTTTTCATATAAGTCACATAGCTGGAGGTTATCATTTAAAAATTTTCATTAATCTCGGTGCAAAAAAGACGAAAATACCCACAAAACGTTAGGTGAACGGAATAAATATATATATATATATATATATATATATATACCTTAGGTCTTAAATATTCGTGAACCTGAAACGTTGAAACGGGTCCCACGTCCATGTTGATGTCCCATAACTTGCACAAAACAGTTACAAATTAATTCTATGTTGTGTAGTTATATTAAAAAAAAAAAAAAAAGTATTTAACTTTTATATAGAAATAGCTTAACTGTAATCTAAATTATTAATATCACAAACCTTAAGTGTCATGTAATCACGGCTTAGTATATATCTTCCATTCCTTCCAAATTTAATATCTGAGATTGATGCTATTATCTCTGTGAAGAATGATCTTGAACCAGGTGCTTCTTGTTCTTCAAACCTACCAAAATCAATGTGTCAGTGTCATTTATGATTATACAGGACAAGACATGACATGACAAAAGACGTAAATACCCTTATCAATGGAAAAGCGACCAAAATGCTTACAATTTGGAATGTCGATCACACAATGCAGATTGGCGTAAATCAATAAGGCGAATGGATCCTTTTGAACTACTGTATGCTAAAGTGTTGCAATGAGTAGGATGAAATTCAGCTGATGTAATCACCTCTGTAAGTAAGTAAGTAACACAAAATATAAATATCAGAAGGAATAACCGAATGGAAAGAAAAGGTTAATTGATACACAATCACATGAAGATATGCATACGAAATTAGGGCACACAATTGAAATTTCCAAAAGTTTATACCTGTGAGATCCTCCATATTTGTAGGTTTAACATCCACAATGTTGAAACTTTGATTGCTAATTTCCAAATTCCAAAGGTTTATCCGAAGATCATCAGCCGAAATAAATGTTTCACCATCACTAATTGAAAAAGAGGGAGTCAAATGTATATTTAGAAAACAAAGTAATCAAAGCAAAATATACAAACAATGACATGTTGAAAGAATCAAAATAGAATATCCAAACCTGTTATTTGAGATTGAATTGATATGATAATCATGTGCATGAGCATACACTCTTCTACATCTTGCAACAAGACTTGTCTCATTACTAGTTACCTACAAAATTTACCTTCTTGTTACACTTACACTCAAACAAAAAGAAAGTTGGTTAAAATGAAAATAGTCAAAACTTCTCCCTATTGCCAAAAAAAGTAACATTTTTAGACTAATTAAATATACGCGATTTCATCAATAAATGCAAATATTTTATAGATATATTTATACATAAATATAAATAAAGCATGAGTTGGGTACAACTACCACAGGTAATCGTAATGACTGGATTCCCAAATCCTTGGTCAAAGTCAAACTAGTGTAGGATTTATCAGTGTATTCCCCATTTACACCATGTGATGATTTTTGGTTTGAAGAAGTTGCGATATTTCCATTCCCAACAGCTTTAGAAGCATCCATATTCATATTCATATTCATATCTGCAATTTTTTTAACCTTCTTTTCTTGAACCTGAAAAGTCAACACAAAATTATCAAATCCCACTTCATAGTTCATATCCAACAGAAAAATGAAATATATATATACAATTTTATATGTATTAAAGTGGTTTACCTTCCAGAATTTAATGGTTTTGTCATTGGTAGACAAAAGAAAAACAGCACCATTGGCTGTTTGACACCATTTGATTTTGTTAATCTTCTCTTCGATCTCCAAACTCTTTAAATAATCAAACTGAAACAAAAAGAATATGAGATTTAGTAAGTAAAACAATGATCAGAAAAGTGAGAAAAAGTAATTGAAAAAATAAAATAAAATAACCTCGGGTTCATGGCTTTGAAACTCGGTTTTGTAGCGGAATTCAGGATGCCTACCACTTGGGTAATCTGTCTTCTCTAAATCCTTTCTACTTCCACCATGCTACAAAATTGTAGATGATTTAAAAATACAAAGATATAAATATATATAATTTTCAAGAAATTATAATTGTATTAGTGATTAGTGATTAGTGATTCTGACCTCCTTTGTATCAGTCCTCTCAAATAACACCACCCTGCCACCACGATCACCAGTGGCAAGATGATCACCACTTTTATCAAACTCTATAGCTGAAATGATATCAACTGTGACAAAAATTCAAAACAATGTAAGATATTAGATAAATGATTTGTTTGTGGCATGTAGACAAAAAAATATATATATTATATATCAAAGGACTAGATTACCTATTTATGTAATGAGAAAGAATGCCCTGATTGTATACATAAAGAAAGAAGTTCCAAAGATTTGTTGTTATATTCATCTATGGAAAACTACATATATGCATTCAATAACCTTTTGAAGTGGTTTTTTCATAGTTGTTTAAATCTTATATGTACTTAAATCACCAAAAAACAAAACATGCATTTAAAGAAGTTAATTGAAAGCAAGAAAAGGGAAAAGATTGATTGATTGTAACTTGATCAACATTCAATTGAAAATTTGTCGTTTTTAATTGATTTCGGTCAACAAATTGAGCAAAAGTACGAGCATTAAATAGAAAATAGTGTAATTGTTCATGAAATCACCGATGATACAGCAATGTAGCGATCCAAATAATAGATCAAAGACACACTTTATTCAAACCCTAATAAACATACGAATCTGGGGATTTAAATTTAGATAAGTAGAGAAGCTAATTTACCTTCTTGAACTTCTTCACCGGCGGTGCGTTCACCAAATACCTGAGAGAACCTCCAGTCTAGCGGCGGTGGTGGACCCGCCGGAGCTGCCGTGACATCTCCATCACCACCGGTCATTCCTTCTTCCTTTTCTTCTCGCTTTTTGGGTTTGTGTAATTAATCAATGGAAAACAAATTAATGAAGTTGAAACTAAAATCAAATCAAGAACAGCCTCAGCGGATCGCTTTTTCCCAATTATTATTCTTCAAGATCGCAGCTTCCGGACCGTCGGATGATTCCATCAACGAAAAAGAACAAAAGAATGTCACCTTTTCAGATTCATTCAACCATTAATAAGCATCACCTCATCATCATCATATTCATCATCATCATCAGCAACAACACCCACATCGCTTAATTCGTAGATTGAGATTTAATTTTCTCTCTCTTCTTTCACACCCACACCCACTTTCTCTCTCTCTCTTAAAAAAATCTCCTTTTTCCGCAGTGGGGAAGGAGAAAAATGGAAACTTTGGGCAACAAAACCGTTCCTATTGCCTCCCAACACACCAAAACTCCCGTCACAGCGAATACTCTCTCCCAATATTTCTATATTTTCTTCTGTCGTTTACGATAATACGAAGATGAAATCAACAGTTGGGGAGTTAATCAGGTCACAGATGAATGGGATTGTGCCACGTGTACGACGTGGATGTGTTGTACTGGTTCGTGATGGGATTCCAATCACCGTTGGTGAGTGGAGATAAAAGTAAAATTTAATCTAGAATTCTAGATGGAGGACAATGTTATTCAAGACTGTGCACCACCCGGGTTGAGTTAGCGATGACACAAGGTGAGAGGTAGTGTAAAATGACGTTTCTGTCCCTCTCATCTTGGCCAATTTCATTCTGTGTTAGTTTTCAGTTAATTTATTTATTTCTAAAACCAATATTTCGAAGGTTGTCAAAATTATTTATACTAAATAAGATCAAAAAAAAAAAAACACTATGATTCTTTTATATTTGGAAGATCAAATGATTAAATGATTGTAAGATCATATTAGTGATGGGAAGTTTCTAGATTAAACTGTAAAATTGATCCATGTGGTATTCAAAAGTTTTCAATTTGTATGGAATGTCCAAAATCAAAAAAAAAAATTGTGATTTTGATCCCTAGTAAATTTGAAAGGTATTTAAATAGTTGAAAAAAAATCGCATCCCATCCCAACCCTCTCCACCGGTACCCCCCCCCCCCCCCTCTCTCTTTCCCTTTCTCATCGTGTATTTCATCAGAAAAAATTTCCAATTCTCTATGTACCTTCAAAACTCATCTCATCAAGAACACACATTCGCAAAATTCTACGTACACACAAAGAAATTAAACACACACAATGAGGAATTCTCCTTCTCGGCTATTATGAGTTCTCCTTCTTCGACTATTACGAGTGTTTTATCTCTGGATTCAAGACCCACTGACGAGTTCTCCACCGCCACCGACCTGGTCTTTGCTTCCTCCTTTCCCACCGTTAAATCACCCCACCTAGAATCTATTATCTAGTTCCAAATCTGGAATCCACAAAACCCAACACATTGTATCTGAGCAAATGACAAAAGGATGTTGACGATAGGGTTTGGGGTAGATTCTTAAAGATGAAAAAGATATCTTTTATTTGAGTATGTTAGGGTTACAGCTTGAGAATATGGGGTTAACAAGGACAATCGACATTGACAATCGGGGGTGATTGGAAACGATATGTTTGCTATAATAAATTTGATGAGGAAAATTGAAGTTCATAGTGACAAATTCAGTGGTCGGATTCCTGAATCGCTTATAGATATGAGCTTTCTTGATGATTTGCAAATGAAGGATAATGAATTTGAACGTGAGATACCATATTTTAAACAAAAAAGCATAGTGATGCCATTGTTTGGGAGGCTGCGACTGAGTGGAGTTGAGAGGGAGTTTGGTGGGCTTTTTGTTCATATGGTAAAAAAAGATCACAAGTCCAGTGAAACGAAGAAGACCACAGGAAGCGGTGGGAAATATTACATGTTTTTGTTTGTGTGTTTGATGATAAACATGGGGAAGATTCTTGAAGATGAAGATGGGCTAGGTTAGATATATATATATATATATATATATATATATATATATATATATATATATATATATATATATATATATATATAGAGAGAGAGAGAGAGAGAGAAAGAAAGAAAGAGAGAGAGGAAAAGATAAAGAAAATAGGGGACGGTCGAGGTGGGATGCTAGGCCAATTTTTTTGTTTTTAACTTTTAATTGATAAAGTAATAAAATAGATAGGAAAAAAATTAAAAGGGTAAACACGGATAGACGCCAGTCATGCTTAGGATTTCAGGTTGGGGATATGGTACTCCTAAAGGTGTCACTTATGAAAGGTGTCATCTGGTTCAGGAAGCGGGGCAAGTTGGGTCGTATGTATATCGGTCATTTCAGGGTTATTATCCGGGAGGGCATGGTTGCTTATCGTTTGGAGCTACCCAAGGAGCTTAGGAAGATTCACAACACTTTTCACGTCTCTCAGGTGCGGAAGTGTTTGGTTAATGATTCTGTAGTGGTTCCTTTAAAGGATATTGAGGTAGATGAGCGCCATAATTACATAGAAAGACCGGTTACGATCATATACAAGAAGACGGATACCTTGCGAAACAAGGTTGTGGGTCTAGTCAAGGTGCAATGGTAGCATCAGAAGGATTCAAAATGGACATGAGAGACTGAGGAGGAGATTAGATAGCACTACCCATAGTTGTTTGTGGAGGCGGACTTTGAGGACAAAGTATGATTCAAGTGGGAAAGAATTGTAACGCTCGGTTTTCAGGTAAATTTCTTAAAATTCGAAGTGTTTATTTATTTTGCATGAAGACCTATTACGTTGGTAGTAATTAAGGTATGTTGGGCATACCTTGACCAACATTGGACATGGGGTTTTCCTCCAAGTACACTAGGAGTACCTAGCGTATGTTGGGCGTACTCAAGACAGGGGAAAATCCTAAAATTTAGGGTTTGGACCTTATTTGAGAACTTTATAACCTTAAGGCCTCTTCTATCATCAGCATCCTTCGTCCCAAAGCAGTTCCCACGAAATCTTATTCCAATTTTAGAGAATATTGAGCCTTATATATGCTTTGGTGCGTGTTAGGTGCATCTTGAAGAAAAAAGAACCCTTTTGAGAATCCCTTGTTGATTTGAAGCTTGTGGATCTAGAATCTATTCGCTTTGATCATTCTCTTGGAGGTATAAAGTCTCAACCTTGTTGAATCATCTCTTAGATCTAGTTAGTTTAGGGTTGTTGGGATATTTTGGTCCCTTGAGTTGATTCATGTGATTATAAGTTACTCCAGAAGTTTAGAATAGTAGATCTTGATGTTTTTGAGGTACCTTGTTTAGAAAAATGGCATCTTGATGGATTTAACTCAACCATGCAAGAGTTAATGTTCATATTATGGAGTTAGAATGCTAAAAATGGGCGTTGAGCCTATTTTAGTCATGCAAAGGCATCAAGTTGATGACTTTATTAAAGACGTTTAGACTTAAGGCATTAAGTGCTTAATGTGAGTTTTGGCAATTTGGGGAGTACCGCGGCGTACATAGGCGTACTCTTAGCGTAAGGTGTTTCAACCCTGTTTTCCCTTGTTGTGTAAGCTTGTACGTAGGGTGTAATAAGGTGGTATACTTAGCGTACTCACTAGAAGCCTTTTGGTCCATTTATTGGGCCTTAGGTCTTTTGGGTCATTGTTGGTCCTTATGTCCTTTGGGCTTGGGCCATGACTTGTTGGGCCTAAGGTAGGAAGGGTAAAGGGTCTTTTACCCTTTGTGAGAGGAATTATGATTTTGCTTTTAGTTGTGGTTGTTACCCTGATTATTTATTAGAGTTAGTTGAATGTGTTCAGTTGAGGAGCCATTGTAGCAGCCTGTGTGTCTGATTGTTCTTCATTTGATTAAGGTGAATCTTCTTACAGTGTTTGGTGGGTCGAAGGCACCAATATCAACCCATTGATTTTTGTTATTAGAATGTTAGCTATCTGTGTGGCTCTTGCATGTATTGTATGTGTTTGTATGTATACCGGGCGAGGCCCAATGTCAGGTGAGGCCTGATGAGTGTGTTAGGTGGACCCCATCGCATGTTACTGGCATATCTGCATTGGGCGGGGCCTAATTCCGGGCAAGGCCCGATGGATGTTAGGCGAGACCCATTATATGTATGGTATGTGGTGTTTGAGGAAACTCACTAAGTTTTGTGCTTACGGTGTAAGTTTAATGTCAGGTACTTCTAGTTCAAAGGTGAATGACCCGCCCTGATTGCAGCACATCCACCCGTGTTTCTGCACTTTTTATGATTTTGGGATTTGTACTCTAATAACTATTTCGCATCGGCATACTTTGACGGTTGATTTGAGATATCTGATGGATTTTGGTTGATTTTTAAATTGAAAATTTTATTTACGATTTTTGTGATGTTACACAGTTATTCATTCCCTCTACCACACTCTATCACCAGCCTTCTCTACATGTTACATATTTATCTTCATCTCTCTTCTCTAAACTTAATGAAAAACATAATAACCTCATTATCACTTTAGCCATCGGAATCACCATTGACGATGACATTTGTACTCAAAATAACCTCCAATTCAATTCTTTAGTCAATGTTTTTGTCACACCCCAAAACCAAGAACGGCGGAAACGTTCTGGGGCGGAGGACGTCATGTAAAGTATCACAACACAGTAAATGTAAATAAGCAAACAACATCATCCATTGCATTAAATATAAAATTTTAACACAAGCGTGTTCCGTACAGTTT